TTCCAGATGGTTAATAATCATCTGTAATATAATGATAATCCTATTACATCAGTTACCATCAGATTAACAACGTATACTTCTGAATTAAATCATTTTTATTTTGCCAATTTGAAAATTTAATTCCTACAGTCAAACCTGAATGATTCTGTTGATTGATTCTGAAAAAGACAGCAACACTCCAAGAAGTCATCATCGTTCACAATTCCCACTTAGGGTTGAGACTCTGCAAAGTTATCTTTTCCTTAGCTTCCTGCATTCTTAATGGATGTCAATGAAGGGAACAAGTTACAACGCGCCTAGTTTTCTTCATTCAGGTACACGTGTAAGGGAATAGCAGCTGCTAGGGAATTCCCCGGCGTCTGGGTCAATGCTTCTCGCTTCACAGCCTAACTAAGCGAGAGTTGCTGCCCTTCGGCTTCTCATTGGCCAAGCCTCTCCTGGCAAAGACGGCAAGGGAGGAAACTGCCGAGGAGACGTGGTTTTGCAGGGGATGCCTCTACCCTGGACGCAGCGCCCCTCATTTTCCAATCGGCACCGAGTACAGGATTTCTCCTAGGCCTTTCTCTTTCAGCAGAGACGTGCATGTGCCAGCAACCTTTAACTGATTCCAGGGTAAAGAATTTAATAACATTATACTGTATTGCTTTACAGCCCACGCTTCTGGTTATTATTTCATTCGAGCTCTGCAACCGCCCTGCATTTCTACTTCAAAGGAACAGTGCTCATGAGCTACAGGGCCCGCCAGCCGCAGGGCCTACACTCAAATCCAGAGCCCGTCACCACTCCGAATCTCAAGCTTCTCACCGCCAACACTTCCCCAGCCTGGAGCTTTCCCAGATAACCCACCTGCCTTGGATTCCTGGGCAGCGGTTACCATCCTGCGCGGCCCATCTGAGCCGCAACCATCCGCCATTCACCCGCCTTCCCCAAACCAGGAAAAGCACCAGGACGCAAGAGCGCGTTTGGCCATTTCCCCTTCCAGGAGCGCAGAGCTTAGGGCGAGGTCGCCCAAGTCCCCTCACCGCACGCGTTACCCAAGACCCCGGCTAGCCATTGTGTGGCTGACTCAGGCTTCCAACGCGCCCCGAACCCAGCCACCACGGAATCTCCAGAGGTGGGCTCACCAGCCCCTGCCCTCACGGGCCGCTCTAGCCACGCTCGGAGCCTGCAGTCTCGTTGCTCCCGGCTTGACGTCATCGGCGGGCGCCGCAGCGCGGTGGCGGGCACGCGCAGCCGAGAAGATGTCTCCGACGCCGCCGCTTTTCAGTTTGCCCGAAGCGCGTACGCGGTTTACGGTGAGCTAGAGGCGGGAGGGTGCGGGCCTGATGCGGCGCTATTCTTTGCCCTCCTCTCCCTGAAATTACTTGAATTTTGCCCCGCGGTAAAGTGAGACAGAGGTGTGTACGGCGCGGCGGTCCGCCGCCGGCCCCGTCGGGTGCCGGGAAGTAGGGAAAGGCGCACCACCTGTCTCCCCCGTGCATCCTCTGCTGTTCGCCTCCGCACACCCGCCGGCGGGTTGCCGGACCCCACGTTCTGGGCGCCTTTGCGCCCGGCGTGGAGAGCTCATCTGCAGACTACCTTCGGTCGGGTCTAGATCCTCAGCTCGCTTAGAGGGGCAGGCGCTTCCAGAACTGGAAGCGGAGCTGCTGAAGGGGGACGGCGGGAGTGGTTTTAGCCCAGAGACCCTGGCTCCCGCCCTGCCTCCTAAGTTGTCAGGTACTTGTCCCAGCCGCTTGTTCACCCCCCTTTAACCCTCCGTATCTCACCCCTAAGAGATCGATAAAGAGATACTAAGCGGCAAAAGGCAAACAGATTACCTGGGAAGGATTACCAGATGCCATTTTATTCTTGCCCAAGGCGGAAAGGATGTTGAGCATTTGGGAAACGCTTTACACATTAGAGTAACAGTGAGAAGTAGGCTAACTCTTATTATCCCTGGTACGTGAGATAGAAACCAGAAAGAGTTAAGTGACTTTTCACTGGGTTTCCTGACTTCAAACCAACTTTTCAGACCTACTGTTCTTTTTGTGTTGCCCATCACAGCAGCATATGTACGAAGAATGGTGTTCTAAGTTATTTGATTGTGTTCATCTCTAGCATTTCCACCATATTTCAAGGCATGATTTAACTACTCAGATATTTAACTGTGTTTAGTTAGTTATAGTGATGCCAGAATAAACATTCTGAAAGAAAATTGACTGTTGGTAGTCAGTAGTTTTCTTGTGCGCAGATTTTTTTTCATACAGTGTGAGGTTTGTTTGTTAACAGATTGTATTTTGTTTATGCCACCAGAATCATTTTCTTTGTGTGCATTTTTGCTGCAATCCCTGGTGTTTTGAAATTCTGCTAAGAGTGACTTAAGACTATTCAAGATCATATTAGACCTGAAAGGGATCATTTAATTGAAGATCATCTAGTCCAGTGCTTCTCAAGCTTCAGTGTGCGTGGGATTACCTGGAGATCTTGTTAAATGCAGATTCTGGTTCAATAAGTGTGGAATGGGGTCTGAGATTCTGCATTTCTAACAGGTTCCCAGGTGATGCCACTGCTGTTGCTGGTAGTATCTACAACAACCCTCAAAGAATGACCCAAAATTATGCGGCCTATTAGTGGCAGAGCCAGGAACGAACATTCCCAGTGTATATCTAACTCCTGTGAGGTAATAAGATATATGTGAATTTTTACAGAATGAATGACTTTGCAGTATTTCTGTCCTTAAATTATGACTACTTTAAGATAATCAGCAGGTATTTATTCAGTGTGTCAGGGACTGCACTGAGCAAGGTACTAGAGGAGGTAGGACTTGAGATGGGTCTGGAAGAATGGATAAAATTTGGATGAGCAGGTGGAAAGAACAACAGGAATGTGTAAATACGCTAGAATGAGCTTGGTAGAAAATGATGAAAAATGGCTAGACTTTAGCAGAGGGTATTTGTTAGGGAGCAGCGGGGAAATAAGGTTGGATAGATTGAGTGGGATAACATCAAAGACCTTGAAGGAGCTATGAAACTTCAAAACCAAAACATGTAAATAAGGAGCAACTTGGAGTTTGTTTGTTTGTTTGTTTGTTTGTTTTTTAAGGAGAATACTCTCATGACTGTGATATTTAAAGAAATAGTAGGAGGCAAAACTTAGAAAAAGTCTGGCTAGGAAGCACTTGCCAGATTTAAAGTATTGAAGATCTGTATTATTAAATGGCATTTGGAATAAGTATTTTTTTTTTTTTTTTTTTTCCTTTTTTTTTTGTGGAATAAGTATTTCTAAGAGTGACTGATAGGTAATTTTTCACAGGTATAAATGTTTTTTAGATAGAAAGACATACTATTGATGAATTATGTGTTTTTCAGTAAGTAAGAAAGTCTTTCCAATTATTTGCCATTTTTATTTCTCTAGAAGTCTACCAGAGAGGCCTTGAATAACAAAAATATCAAGCCATTGTTGAGTACCTTCAGCCAGTTGCCCGGCAGGTAAGGCGTTGATTACATGTAAAACACTTTCCTGAATCTTTATACTTACCCTGAGCTGTTTAAAAAATGAGGGTGTCTTTTGTTTTTAATAGTGAAAATGAAAAAAAGTGCACCCTTGACCAAGCTTTCAGAGGTGTTCTAGAAGAAGAAATTGTAAGTATGTTTTTCCCTTATTCATTGTTAAAATTTTTCTGACAAATTAATAAACCATGATATTTACAAATTGCTTTTATTCTTAGAATGGATATTTAAGCATGATTATTTTTAAGTGAGCTCCCTGCATTATGAAAGCTGGCTTGATGATAGATGATATAGGAGTTATATCGTAATTAAGGATTTTGATAGCACAGGTGCAATTTAAGGGTTTAGTAAATGAAGAGAGTCCTCTTCAAGTGAGATAAGAAAAGTTGAGATGAGGTCATAATGAGCAAGAATGAGAGGTTGAAGGTAGGCTCTCTCACCTTACTGTATAAACCGTGACATGTCTCATAGTGGCATGAAAGTTCTAGTCCAAGGATGTTCAGCTTAGGAGCTGGGTCCCCAAACCATCATTTTCCTGTGACATCCTCCTCATCAGTAAGCACACATAAATAACTAAGCCCTCTCCAATCTCAGTAGAAAAATTTAATCTAACTGAAAAATCTGAATTTATTTACTATTAGTGCAGCAGCTGAATGAAAGGAAAAGCTTCAATCATTTATTCTTGGAGAAGCAAAAGTTGAGTCTGCAAAAGCTAGATTCTCTTCCAATAGCCATAATACAGTATCCCTTTTTCTCAGACAATTCTGGATCAAAACCACTTCTTTCCTTTTCTTCGGACTTAGTCATATTTCCATTATGAGGCATTGGGCAGGTTACTTTGCTTTTCTGAGCTTCACTTTGATTTGTAAGAGCAGAAATACTGTTCTTTCAGTGTTGTACAAAACAACACATTACTGAACACTCAATAAATGCTGGTTATTATGATTTTATAGAACCTAAGCAGTACCTCCCTTCCGTCATAACATATTGATGCACCTGTATATTAATTCCCCTGGCCCTGTGCCATTGATTAAGTTATGGTCTCAGCACTTCTGTGCTTGGTTGCTTATAGCCTTAATCATGCTGATGTAGCCATTTTCCTGAGACCACTGGATTTTGAGTAAGTTACCTGCTTATTACTTACTTGACATAGGAGAGTATATCAAAAAGTTCACAGAGGGCCGGCCCAGTGGCGCACTCAGTAGAGTGTGGCGCTTGGGAGCGCAGCGGCGCTCCCACTGAGGGTTCGGATCCCATGTAGAGACCGGCCTGCTCACTGGTTGAGCGCAGTGCGGGCGGGACACCGAGGGTTGCGATCCCGTTACCGGTCACGAAAAAAGACAAAAAAAGGAAAAAAAAGTTCACAGAAAAGTAGAATTAAAAGGTAATATGAATCTTTCCATGAACTTTTTGAAGTACCCTCATACTTCTACAGTTATTGATTCTATATATTACTGTTCATTTTTTGTATTTTCATCTTAGAAAATAATTTGATCTATAAGAAATATTTTTATTCCTTGTTTGTGATAATCAATTTAATGTCAGAGGACATGTTTTTATTGTTATCAAATTAGTCTGAACTCTTGCTCTAAATTAAATTGTTTTCTCCTCTGTTGGTAGATAAATCATTCATCATGTGAAAACGTTTTAGCTATTATTTCTCTTGCTATTGGGGGAGTAACTGAAGGTAAGTAAAGTTTTGTTCTCATTTTTAAAGTAATCTTGGACATGACATGCTTTGTTTAAAATTTCCTTTTTCCCCACACCTCTCCACCTATCTAACTGTGTTCATTCTTCAAGTTCTGCCTGACTCCCACCTTTGCCAAAAAGTTGTCCCAATCAAATTAATTGACATTTATTTCTCATCTCTATTATACAACACACATTTTGGCACTTTCTTTGTCCAGTTGTTTCGCTCATTCAGTAAATATTTATTGAGCATCTACTGTGTGCCTGGTACTGAGCTAGGACTTGGAGAATGAATGGTGACTAAAACATGTTCCCCACTTGTAAGGAGCTAGTGGCTAATGGAGAACACAGGTATGTGAATGTCTTACTATGGTGTAAGTACTGTGGTTGAAGTGGGAACGAAGTGTGGTTGAAGGGAATAAAGTGCAAGTGACTCTGAACTTTGGAGCCTAAAGGAATCAGGAAAGGTTTTAGAGGGGAAGCTATAACATGAGAGCTGGGACATGAGGGATGATGAGTTTGTCAGACAGAAACAAAGAAGGGTATAGCTGCACAAGGCCAAGTTCAGCATGGGTTGAGAACTGTGTGGAGCAGGAGGATGAAAAGATAATGAGAATGGGGAGGAAAGAAACAAGGTAGGTTAGGGTCATTTGTGAAGAGCTGCGTATGCTCTGCTAAAGAGCAGCAGTAGAAGAATAATTGGATTGGGAGAGACTGCTGGCAGGAAATTAAGGCAGGAGACTGTTAAAATGGTGCAGTGGCAGTATGCAATAGTTTGAAGAGACTTTAAGTCAGCAAGGCACATAGTAAGTACACGGTGCCTAACTGTGTAGGAGGAGCTCATTAAATATTTGCAGAAAAAAGAAATGAAAAAATAATTCACCATTCTTTTACCAATTTGGTTAAAATATTCATTTGATTAATACAGATAATATATGTGGAAACTGCCTTTTAATCTATAAAGCATTGTATACATAATGTATTATTTTGATACTTGTTCCTACAAAAACTGGGACACACAAAGTAAAAGTGGTTTCCCAGTATAGCAGCAAGCAATTTTGTGAACTTAAGCTTATAAATTCTGCCTTCACATGTTAAACTTTTATAAGAGCTGCTTAATCATTCATTCATTCATTAAGCATACTTAAATGAGTTCCACAGTGCAGTTCCCTGCCTAGTTTCTGTCAAAAAGTTTGCAGTGTGTCCTTAGTTCATCAATTAACTCGATATGTTACTCTTGTAAGGCTGTCGATGTTTTAACATATGAAGTTTTACAAAGTTATAAACTTGGCATTGGAAGAATCTTAGAGTATGGAATTTAAATCCAGCAGACTTTGAACGTGGGGTTCTTTTCTCCTTGGTAGAGCAGTGGGGAGGAAGATCAGAGGAGAGTCTCTGGTGTTCGGGAAAGATAGAGACTCTGGACACCTTCGAAGTCTATACTTAGAACTTTTGCTTTAATTGAGAAAGATGAGGATTTAGTACTTAAATTGTATTAAAGGCTTAAATGCATTATTTTAGTTTGAGAGGAAAAGTTTTTTGAGATTATGATTTTATATGTGACATGTTATCAAATTATCCATAAATATGTTTTGTTAAATTCAAATAGGCAGATATTTATCAAGCTTCTGTGTAGTGTCACTTTACTAGTTAAAACATATAGCAATGCCTACCTGTAAAAAGCTGATAGTCTAAAAGGTTAAAGGCTTAAATGCATTATTTTAGTTTGAGAGGAAAAGTTTTTTGAGATTATGATTTTATATGTGACATGTTATCAAATTATCCATAAATATGTTTTGTTAAATTCAAATAGGCAGATATTTATCAAGCTTCTGTGTAGTGTCACTTTACTAGTTAAAACATATAGCAATGCCTACCTGTAAAAAGCTGATAGTCTAAAAGGTTACCTCAAAAAGTTCATGGAAAGATTCATATTATCTTTTAATTCTATTTTTCCATGAACTTTTTGAAGTGAACTCTTACATTGCAAAGGTTATTATTTAGGATATGCTAAGTGATACGGTAGCTTTATGAACGGTGAGGTGGCCTGCTCAAAGATATCAGGGAGTTTTTAAAATGAGTTGACATTTACTCTATGTTTCGAAAGGTGGAGTCAGAATTTGCCATGTGATAAAGAGGAGGAAGACTATTTAGGCAGAAAAAAACATTGTAAACAAAACTACGGAAATAATGAACATAGCGTGGTGTTTGGAAACGGTGGAGGGGTATCTGTGGCCAAGGTTAAAATAAGCAGAGAGATCGGTGTGGAAGCTGGGACACAGGTTGTGAAAGTTTTGGGGGAGCATGCTGTAACCTAGTGGTTCCCATATCTGCCAGCTCATCAGACACCAGTGAGTCTCTATTTTTAAATGAGATTCCCAGGCCTTTGCTTACTTCTTCCGACTCAGAATCTTTGGCAATGGAATCTAGCTAATTTTCTTAAGTTCTATAATTATTAAATGTGAGTTAATTTATGCCAGACTATCTTGCAACTGAGGGCAGGGGTTATGTGTCTTAAATCTCTTGGATGTACAGGACATATAGTATCACAGAATCTAAGTGTTGTTGGGGACTTTAGAGGTCCAGTCTCATCTCTGGCCTAGCTTGCCTCTCTAACGTGTGGTCATCCAGCCTCTTACTGGATCATGCTCCCTGATGGAACTCACGAGTCCTGTTGACAGTGCTGAGGTTTCCCTTGTGTTGAGTTGAAATCTGCTGCCTTATGCCACCCACTCGTTCTAGGTAGTATCCCTCACATCGCATTCCAGATGTGATCTTACCAACAGAGAGTAGAGCTGGAAATATTACTTCCGTTTTCGGACATAGTATATTAATGCAATGTTTTGGCTTTATAGTGCCCCTTGATTCCCCACCTCCCCATACTATGCCTAAGTGGCTACTTTTCTTAAACCAGGAGTATTAGTAAGTACCCATTACCTTAAAATAGAAGGAAAAATGAGTGGGGACATAAAAGTATTTTTAGCTAGTGTAAATGGTCTTAAGAAAAAATTTTAATTTATTGCTGTTTGTTAGTAACGCTGATTTGGAGATAAACAGTAACTTTCTACTTTACTATTCTTTCCCCTGAAACAACACTGTTATTTTAAATGTTATGTCATAGTTGAAATCAGTATCAAACTTTTTTGTTATCTTTTTTGAAAATAATCTTTTTGAATTACAGACAGGTTTGCAACATTACAAAACATTTAGAAAGGAGAAAAAGGGAAAATACTAATTACAATTCCTCTACTTTTAAAAACTACCATTCATTTTGGTATATGGTTTTAGTTTCTCTAGTATTTTTTTTAATCTTATTATTGTAACCGTGATAAACATACAGTTGTGAGTCCTGCCCTTTTCACTTAACATCATATCATAAGCATTTTCCAAGTTGTTATAGTCGTCATAACCATCGTTTTTAATTGGCTGCATTATATTCTTTTGAATAGCTTAGTGGTGAAGAAAACAGACTGTGGAGCCAGACTGCCTGGGTTCGTATCCCAGCTCTACCACTTACTGGCTCTGTGATCTTGGGCGAGTTATTTAACCTCTCTGTGTCTCAGTTTTCCCATTTTTATAAAATGAAGGTAATGATAAGATCTACCTCATAGGGTTATGAGGATTAAATGTGTTAGTATATGTAAAGCACTTAGTGTGCCTGACATATAGTAAATGCTCTAGACGTTATCAAGAATTATTATGTCATCATCATTATTATTAAGTGCACATGTCAGAAATTACTTAAGTATGTCCTGTTTGGGGACTTTTAAGCTGATTCCATTTCTTGTCCTTTTAAGGCCTTGTTATGAGTGACAAAGTATACCTTTTAAGATAGTCTTCAGAATTATTTTTCATAGGCTATTTTATTCTATAATTTTTAAAACTTTTAAATTGGCTTGTGCTCCTCTTGAAGGTATTTGTACTGCATCTACACCTTTTGTATTGTTGGGAGATGTTTTGGATTGTCTTCCTCTGGATCAATGTGACACAATATTCACTTTTGTGGAAAAAAATGTTGCTACTTGGAAATCAGTAAGTGCCTTAATTTCTTTTCCCGTTAACATTATCTTTCCATAGATCCATAGTTCTGAGGGTAGATTTTTTTTTGCTTATATTTCTAATTTGCTGATTGCCAAAAAGTCAAATTGTTCCTGTGAAAGAATTATATACTGTGCTATCTTGAAAGAGCCAAATAAGAATCATGTGTGGAGAAAAACTTGAAGTGCAAAATTTGATTGAGTAGTAAAAATTAACTTGAAATGCACACTTTCACATGTTTAAAACAGTTATTTAGTATCATGTTTTCCTATCATATATCTGAAAACATTTTTATTTTATTGAAAATGTTATTTGCTTAAAAAAAGTGAAAGTGACGTAATAGATTCTCAGTGCATGTTAGTGTTATTTAATATTTACACCCTGTGACTTATTATTGAAGGGTGTGCAAAGCTTGGGAAGAATAGTAATAATTTTATTATTACTATTAAATACTATTAAATAATTCTGCCTTAATTTCAGAATACGTTCTATTCTGCTGGGAAAAATTATTTACTACGTATGTGCAATGGTAAGTAATTCAGTGATAATTGATTGTTTTTAAAATGTAACTGTGGCCAGAACAACAGGTGGTTGAATTAAATACTGGTAGTAACATTTTATAGATAGATTAGTACCTTTATTTTTAAGTAACAATCTGATTTTTCAAAAACTGATCATTCACTTTAAATTAAACTATTCCTGTTTTGGCTGTAACCTTAACGAAAGTCAGAAAAATTTAATAAAGTTTTTCTTGTCCATGCTGAACTTGATTTATTTGTAATTTATAGTACTTTTATGTGGCAATGGTTTCTGTCCCCATTTTGAGCACTACTGCTTTAGGAAAATACTCTCGGCAGACTTGGTAAGAAACTTAGGTATGGTTGCGATAAACATAGAATGATTTTTTCTGTGTAATGTTCATTTCCATATTTTGTTAGATCTCCTAAGAAGATTATCTAAATCCCAGAATACAGTCTTCTGTGGACGAATTCAACTCTTTTTGGCCAGGCTTTTCCCTCTATCTGAGAAATCAGGTATGCTTTTTATATATTACATTCTTTGCAGGAAAATCTTTTCTATGTTTTAATGGATTAAAATCTGTCATAATGATAAATGAGAAAAATGGTTATAAAAAGTTGAAATATATCATAGGGAATTGTTATTTTATTTCCCTTTACTTGTAAATAGTTACACCAGTCCTAGTGTATAATACAGGTAATCCTGAAACAAAGTCATTGATTTTTTAAGTTCACAGCTTATTAATGCAGTTGAATCACACTGAAATATATAGATATGAATCATCATGTCTATATTTCATTTCATAATGTATGCCTATTTTTGTTTCCATTTTCTTCCTTAGTTACTACTATTTAGCCATACTTACTTCCTTTTATTTATTTCTTCTTTTTTGTTACAGATTTTTATTGAGAAACATAACAATCATATAAAAAAGTGCATAAATCAAGTATATAATTTAATAATTATAAAGCAAACACTGTATAATTACTATCCTGCTCTAGAAATGGAACATTGCCAGTTCTTCAGAGCCTTCCCCTTCCCCAGTCTGTTCAGATATGCCAGATTTTAATATCTCTTTGCCTCAGTTTTCCCTTCCTTAATATTGGGCTAATATGCCATCTACTTCATCTGTTGTTGTGAGGATTAAATGAATTAAAATATGTGGAGAGCTTACAACAGTGTGTAATGTGGTAAGACCTATAATATGTGTTTGCAGTGGTTTTTATGTGCTTGCTTTTTGTCATTCTATGTCTATGTTATTTTTTCTTTCCTATTCCTACTTATTTCATGTAGGCAGGATTAATACAGATTTTTCACTTCTTGTATTTCTGACCTTCCATCTGTGAACCTTTTCCCCTTTTAGACTTTTTTTTAGGTATAGGTCTGTGTTTTACCTGAAATTCTATTTTTTTTTAATTCTCGAAGAATGATTTTAATAGATATAAGATTCTAGGTTGGCTCTAGATATAGGATTTCATGTCATAGAAGATGGTCTTTACTTGGTCTTCTGTCTTCCATTGTTCTATAGGCAAGTCAGATGTCAGGCTAACTTCTTTGAAGATTATCTAGACTTTCTTTTCTGCTCTCAAGATTTTCTTCTCTTTGGTTTTTGTTTGTTTCTTTGTTTTTTTATTTTACTACTATGTATCTAGGCATGGGTTTCTTTTTATTCATCCTGCTTGGGATTTGTGGGCATCTCGAATCTATGGATTAGTGTCTTTCATCCAGTTTGTAAAAATTTTAGGTATTATCTCTTCAAGTATTGTGAATGCCTCTCTCTTTGTGGAACTTCAGTTAAACATCCATTATACCTTGTCATTGTATCCTCTATATTTTTCATCTGTTAGTCTCTATCATATTCTGAACCATTTCCTAAGGACAATATTCTACTTTACTACTACTCTCTTCAGCTAAGAATAATCTTCTACTAAATGAGTTCTTAATTTTAGTTATTGCATTTTTCACTGTATCGTATTTTAGTTTTCATTTCCAGAAGGTCATTTTTAAGTCTATGTCACTTTTTAATTTCTTACTCCTTACTTATATTTTTAAGTTTGCTTTTTAGCTTTTTTAAACATCGTGAGCATTGTTATTTTATTTTTTATATCTGATAATTCCAGTACAGTAAGTCTTTGTGAGTCTGTTTCTACTGTCTGTATAGACTGTTTCTCACTCATGATGTCTTGTCTCTTTATGTGTCATTGGATGTTATATTGGAGAAGATTTTGAGGGAATTATTTTGAGGCCTATCATAGGTCCCTTTCTCAAGATGGAGTTTTTATTGCTTCTTCCAGGAACCTTTAAAGGGGGACTACTACCAGTACAGGATTATCTTAATCCAACCCAGTTCAAGGCCTGTGATTCCCTGAATTATCTACAAGACTTGGTAATAGTCTACTGTTTGGTTCATCCCTACCTGAGTTTGTAGCCCTAAAAGTTCCTAGCCTTGTAGCTGGTTGGGGTGGGATTTATCAGTTTATTAGATTCTTTTGTTTTTCCTGGTTGTTTCCAGCCCCAACTCATTATTTTTTGGAAACATTTTAGACCTCTTTTTCAATATACTGTATTCTTAAATTGGCAAGACATAAAGAAAGCACTTCTTTCATTAACTAGTTGAAAGACAAACAGTATATCACTAAAAGTAGCTTTAAATTATATATATTTTAATGTTATATTTTTAACTTAACTTTTTATGAAAATTAATACAACTTTACTGTTATAATATAACCTTAAGGTTGTAAAAGTAATTCAACATTATTTCATAAAATTTGGAAGATGAAGGGAAAAAACTTTGTAATCTTACCACTCTAACACAAACTAGGTTGGCATTTTGGGATGTTTTCTTATAGTGTTTTTCTTTTTTTTTTTTCCTTAACATTTAGTAGCTCTTTAACATTCAGTCAGGTATCTCCCAAGACCAAGACTTTCCATAGGCATTTTAGTATATAATGTACCCATTAATTGTAGTTAGTACACTAAGACTGAAATTTTTAACTCTTAATGAGAATTATAGTATGTACTATAGTGAATAATAGAGAATAAACAGAGGTATTTTAAGTAGTTAAAGCTGAGTGGCTAGCCATGTTCATTCACTAGTTTAATGTCTTGATCTAGCACCCTAGCTTTTTTTTTTCCCCCAAACTTTTTTTGAAAATTTTAGACTTAAGAGTTGCTGAGATAGTATAAAGAATACCTGGACAGTCTTAACCTAGTGTTATCATCTTATATAACTGTGGGATAGTTATCACTAAGAAATCAACATTGGTACAGCATTCACTATTAACTACAGACATTATTTGGATTTTACTGGTTTTATCTCTGCTTTCCTTTTTCTACTCCAGGATCTGCCTTAGTCTCCCCAGTCAGTGACTGTTCCTCAGTCTTTACTTATCTTTCATAACTTGATACTTTTGAAGAATGCTGGTCCAGTATTTTGTAGAATGTCCTTCAATTTAATTTTGTATAATGTTTTTTCATAATTGAGGTTATGGATTTTGGGGAAGAAGACCACAGAGGTGATTTGCCCTTTTCAGGACATCATTTGGACATGATGTTTATAATATTTTATTACTGGCGATGTTATCCTTGATCATTTGGTTAAGGTGGTGTCTCCCATATTTCTCTGCTGTAAAGCTACTCTTTTTCCCTTTGTAATTAATAAATGTTTGCAGGGGAAGGAGATATTTTGAGACTAGGCAAATACTCTTTTTGTCCTTAAGCCTTTGCCTGCTAATTTTAGTATTTATCAGTGGATCTTGCCTGCAGTGATTATTATTAGGGTGTCCTAGTGGTGATTTTCTCTCTCTCTCATTCTTTCTACATTTATTAATTGGGATTCTTTTATAAGGAAGAGTTGTCTCTTCTCCCTCATTTACTTATTAATTCAGTCATTTATTTCTAGATGAACTCATGGATATTTATTTTATGGGTTGTGATTCTATAGTCTCATTATTTACTTTGTTGCTCAAATTGTTGCTGTTTTAATCACTGGGAACTCTTTCAGATTTTCCTGGTAGGAGAAGATTGTCCAGGCTCATCTTGTATTTTCTCTGCCCCAGCCCTGTAATCACCCACTTTTCCAAAGAGCCTAGAGTTCCTTTTATTTAAGAATGGTAGTTAAAGCCAAGATCTAGGCCCTAGATATGCTCATTACTACTGGAGTATCACTGCTTCTAGGCCCTCTCAGCAGACAAAACTAGGAAAGATGTGTATATACTAACCCATGTATACATACACATCTGTGTTTATTTCTTTGTCTGTGTGTATATTTTTAAATGAACAGCAGTATAAACCATGAGATCCTACTGATATCCCTGAGTCAAATTCAGCACCAATAGACCTGCTTATTTTTATTTATTTATTTTTTTTAATTTTTTTTTTTCCTTTTTGTCTTTTTTCATGTCCGGCAACGGATCGCAACCCTCAGTGTCGCGCCCGTACCGGACCGGGACCAGCAACGGGATCGCAATCCTCGGTGCTGCGCCCG